TGGGATGGGTGGTTACGACCGTGAATGGCGTAATGCTTTTACCCGGAACAATGTTCTGTACCTAATTACAGGACCGATGCCTCCTGATAGGGTCCGTCCGCAGTGACTTGGTTGCTTTTAATTTTATCCCATTCAACGCATTTAACATTTATCTCAACGTTTGTTAACAAGTTTACAAAAATCAAAATTCTCTCTTCGTGCTCATCAATTCAACCATCTTCAATAAGAAAAAAGGTGCTCATTCATTTGCTTTGTCGTTCAATTTAACGCATCGGATTCAAAAGTTCAATGGGTAACTCAAATAAACTTTCATCGTTAACCGCGCAGTTGTCAGCATTCTTTTGCGTTCAATCGCTTTTACAAATACACACACATGGGTTTACCAACGAATTCCATCATTTGCGTTGGTACAATTCTATCATTTGAATTCACACACGTGCATGAACGAAGTTGAATATTATTCGTTTGTAATTAGCATTCAGATGAAATAAACTGACTAAATCAACAGAATAAATCATTCCAATTGAAGGTAGAGCATTTCAAGCGATTTCATAATTTGATATTACAAAAGTGCTACGGAAGACGTGTACCATTTCGTGTATTTCGAGGTGAACTTATTGTCGATTTTGAATGCTTCTTTGGCTGGAAAAACCCAATCAATGTATTCAAATTGAACGGTTACGATCGTTTCCATATGCGAGTGAGTTGTTTTCGGAATGATCACAGCAAACATTTGGAAACGAAAGAAAGGAACTTTTTTTTGGTTGACATTTTCGATAAAATTATCAAGATGAATGGATGGAAGAAAAGGAAAGAAATACATCGAAAAACAAAGAACTGAGCCACAAGAGCGTTTGCTTCTAGGGTGAAATGTGTGATTCTGGTTACCTGAAGAGGATGGATTTCTGGCAAAATCGAATAGCCATGCAAATTAATTGCCGTCATAACGAACAACCAGTGCGCGAAACAATGTTTGCAATCGATGAAACTGTGACTGATGCACCTGAGCAGACAACTAAACATGTTCAATACAATCTTCGTGATCAAAAAACAACATCTGGCAATGGTAATTCCGCATGAACGTAACGCTGAATATAATCATTCGGGTGTTATGAAGTAATATCATGATGCAATAGTTTTGTGAAGATAATTTTACATCACATAAACACCAGCTAACAATGGTTGAAAGACCCAAAATGAAAACTATCACTAATGATATCGTTCTGAAAGACGGACTAATGAATTTTTTTTCCGAATGAAGCAGATTGTCAACGGCACCAAAGTTTTATGTGTGTGACTGATTTCATTTGATGAAAGAAATTGTTGAAAAGAAATTTCATCTAACTGATATTACTGAGAAATTCCACCAGTTTTTTTTTCTCATAAACGAAATTGATTCACAGATATGTGGAGGATATCAGCAGTTGGTATGTTCATANTTTATTCTCAACAACGAGACCATACGCAGTTTTTGATCGATTCAAATATTATGGTCCCGAGCGCAAACAAATCTTTCAGCAGGACAGCAAAAATAAGGAAGCTAAAACCGTTCAACATGCTCAAAGCACACCGATCACCAACGAATCGCAGTCGAGTCGAACAGATGACACTACATCTTCCGCAACAAATTCATATCATTAAATTCAGAACGAAACATTCCCACCTGAATTTTCTCATTCATTGATTTATGTTTCAAAAAACAAATTTACTTCTAGTCTACTCAAAATCTAAACTTTTACGGAAACAGTTTGTAAGTGTTCAAGTTATGCACTTAACTTCTACCATGAATTTTGTTGTTCCATCATTAAAACAGCTTTATAAGTAATCAATCAGTAAGTCTGAAAGCATACCAAAACACATTTAAGTCTCGTTTGCATGCTTAATTGCCAGAATAGGATAATGAAACTCAACAAGTAACCCATTATAATGAATTTTAAACATGTTTATTCATTGCGAACGTTACTATGTTTGTTCTCTTTATTGCTGTCTCAACGAATAAATCTTTTATTAGTATTAAAATATGGAGAAACATCACAATATTAC